TTACTAATATAATAAAAATCGAATCGAATCGAATCTTATAGATCGAATAAATAAAAATAAAATAAAATAAATCAAATAAAAAACCCTCGCTCTGTACTTAGACGATATGAAAGCTATGATTCTCCTCCTAGATCACTTCCGGAGTGCTACATTCCGTTTTTTTCATTATCTAATTTATTCCATTAAACTGTTCCACTCTGTACATATTTTTGCTGTAAAATCTTTTGAAAACCAAATTTCCTGCTAAGGTTTATATTATCCACACTTTAATGAAGCTCCAAATCGATAATAGTTAGTAGAAAACATTTTAAACTTAATGCGGTAGATAAGAGGTGTCATATAAAAGATTACATAAATTATCTTGAAACCTTAAGTGGTTTTTTCGTTTAGTTTTTGTCGCGTTAATTTATTAGATCAGTAAAGGTTTCATAAATTTCGAAATAAATTATGAACAAGGAGAAAAATATGTGAAGTAGTGTAGGGAAATTTTAATATCATATAGAAGAATTTGATTGAAAAGAAACGCGAAAAAAAAATAGATTATACAGGGATGGGCATTAGTCAGTTAACCAATTTGCATACCAAAATAAAAAAAAACTAAACAGAAAACTAATTTATTGATTTGATTAATTATTAAAGTAATTATGGTTTTAAAGTTACTGTTTGTGTTCAAACTGCAGACCACCTTCCTCAATGCACCTATAACACCACTTATATACGCTGTTGCAGGTTTTATCACAAAATTCTGGGTTGTTGCGGAGTGCATCGAATTCCTCTTGAATTTTTGTTTTCAAATGTTCAATATCACGTAATAGGGTGGCGAACACTTTGTTTTTTGAGTGCTCCCACAGAGCAAAATCACATGGCGTTATGTCGGGTGACCATGCTGGCCACTCAATTCTTCCTCTTCTTCCTATCCGCATGTCAAACTCGGCATTCAGGTATTCGCGAACTGCAAGTCCGAAATGCGGAGGAGCGCCGTCTTGTTAAAAATAGCGAATATCTGCAAACTCTGGGTTATTTTCCAAAAATAATTTTCTGCATTTACGCTGCCCTCAAAAAAATACGGACCAACTAGACAACCAACGTGAAGTCCAACCACACTGTTACTCCAGGAAGATTTAACTCATGAGCAATGGTTTCGTGAGGGTTTTCATCTGCCCAGTAAACACAATTGTGTCGGTTAATCCGTTCGTTTAGTTTGAACTGCGCCTCATCGCTCCAAAGAACAACTCATCTGCGCAACCAGTATACCACTCGCAAAATTCCAATCTACGATCAGAGTAGTCTTCCGTTATTGCATGTATCAAACGTGGACGATAACAATGATAATTTAATTTCTTTAACACGCGACTTACACTTAGGAGAGATATACCTAATTGAAGCGATGCCCGAACTGTGGATTGCTTGGGCTGCCTTGTAGGAACAGGACTATTTGGATACTTAGTAGTGAATTTGTTGAATACCGTCTGATAATCTGCATGATAACGTAGGTACAAAGTCAACACACAGACTCGTTCTTTTGTAGTGTACTTTACATGGGCTTGGGCTGCCATGGCGACGTGAACTCGGTGACCGACAATCTTGAACTAACGACAAGCGCCACTGCGCCACACCAAACTCCTGTCATCGCACCAATTAGGTACGGTAAGCACCTTTGCCACGTCCCCACTATTTTTGAACTGCGTCAGACAGCGTTAACTGACTTATGCCCACCCCGGTATTGTTTTACACATACAAAAGCTGACTAGTGGACGACAACAAGCAAATAACAATTGACACAAAGACAAAAAATAGGCAAAATAACGATATCAACTACCAGAAAACCAGTCACATTGGAAGGCCCAAGGTGGCATACCCACCAGCAAACTTACAGATGGCCCACTTTCAGAGTTACCAACTTAGAAGATTTTCTAGTAGATGTAGTACAATTATTCTAATTTAGCGAGAAAATTTTAAATCCAATAGATAGTAGAAAATATAGTAGATTTTTCAGTAATTTATCCAAAGGCAAGATATTGATCGCGTGCCTTAGTCTGTGGACCAATGTGACATCTCTCTTAAAAGTCTCAAAATATTATGTATACATCATCATTGAGTTCAAGCCAAGGGACAGTCTTCACGGCATCTCCTAGAGTACCTTAGACTCTTAGCGCTTAGGGGGTCTCCTGTCAGGGCTCTGCCCTAGCCAACTTCCTTAAGGCACTATAGCTGCTTTCTACTCTATAGCAAAAAGTTGTTTTTTATTTTGTTGTAAGAAATTAGCTAGTCTTTCCAAAGCTCCTACCCATAGTGAAGCCTGCCCACTGCTCACTTTTCACATTAGCTGTAATAATAGCAAATCAAGAAAGGATGGCAACAAAAACACAAAAGATTGTCTTGCCATCTCACTACCTGGTATTGAGTAGTATATAGATATTAGTCACATATGTACTGTGCAAATTACAAATATTGTGAATCATCAAACTAAAAGATTGGATTTGTCAAAATTATGAGACAATCAGACAAACTTCAAATCCAGTACAACATAAAATGCAAGTAAGAGCATGACTTAAGGTATGCAGTCAGATCAGCATGCCTCAGTAGAAGAGAACATGAATTTACTTTACGAAATAGATATATGTTACTAGGGCCATATATTTTATACATACCTAAATAAATATTGATATCTTTGGATTAGATAACATCACCACCACTTAATTCATTATTTCCCAAAGAAATTTCTTCTACAGCAGAGGAAGAAAGATTTTTTCCTCTGCCATTACACATTCTATGGTGTTTTGCCAATTGTCAGATAAAATTTTTGACATTAAGTCATTTATTAGTTAATAAATAGCTTAAAGTTTACATGTGCTATTATTCCTCTTATTTCATTTTAGCCACATTAATCATTCAACTTTAAATCCACATTTTTATGCTACTGTATCTAAAGCATCCCTCTTAAATGTGAGTGAATGTAATTAACAAAACCACAAAAGCAATTTTTTAAGTATTCTTTTTTCTATCTTTATGTTTTTGCTTATTAAAAATGTAGGAGCTCTCACCCAGATAAAAATGTTTGTGCCTTCCCTTCTCAGACCTATATTATGAATAGATAAAGCATCAAAATTAAACTAGTAGTAAGGCAAGGTTTCATTATACACCTGTATGCAAAAATAAATATCTTGAGAACTATAATTAAAAAAAAAAAAAAAAAAAAAAAAAAAAAAAACTGAAAAATGACTTTGCAAAAGAATCAAGAACAAGAATTAAATTGCACAAAATTCATTTATAAAAATGAAAAATCTCTGGCGAATATGATGACGAGAAAGTGAATATTTCAAGCTGAACATTGACAATGAAAAAATGTTGGACAGGAATACAATTTTTCTTGAACAATCTAGGAATTTTAAAGTACTAGAACAATTTTTATAAAAATTTGCAAGTGAGCTTATCTAACACTTATCTTCAAAAATTATATGCTTTCAAAGTGTGTTTTCTATTTTTAATGGTACAGTAAATACTAATCCCTCTGGCACAAACATCGGTTAATACATTATACAAATTAAATATTGTTTAAATACTTTAAATAAAGGTTTGTTTATCACATCCAATATATTTTAAGATAAAAGGTAATTTATCAAACATCAAAAACCACCCTTTGTCAAAATTTACCAAAAAAAAAAAGTTTTTGAGGGATTGAAATTGGCTCCTAAATGTTTGTTGTTTCAGTCAAAGTGACTTTATTTTCCTGGATCTGTGGCACTGCAGGGATACTGTCTTTTCTAAAGTCTGTCCAAAATCACATAAATTGTATTTGTTCTTTATTTAAAGAGAGTTTATCCGGCCTGGAGCTTTTTATTAATTTTCAGTTATACAACTATAAGGTATTTGTATGTCAAAATCTTAATAAAAAAGTACTATAATGAGATAAAGGATTAGAAGGATGGAGTATATGGTCCAGAATTTCCAGGTTCTGATACAAAAACACTTCCAGAGACTTATCATGAAAAAAAAAATTGAACAGATTGTGAGACTTTTTCTTCAAGAAAAAGAAAATTGATGGCAAGATGGGCAAATAATATGATGCAATGTACAAAAAGCCCCCTAATGTGTTTCAATTGTAAACTGGTATTGATGATGAGGTTACTGAAGAACTATGAAATTAAATGCAAAACTGTACTACAACAGCAATTAAAACATATAAAGAATTCTGAGCAAAACAGTGGTACAATTTCAACTATTTTCAAAAAATATGAGTAAAACAAAACTTTCTTGGAATTTGAGATTCTCAACAAATTTATAACACAATAATTACTTTTTGACAAGTAATAGGTTTAAACAAAAAATACGTTTTTCTTTGTCTGTAAAAAAAACAATTTAATAACATAGAAAATGGAAACTTGATACAAGAAACATCTTTTAAATTCATGGTATTTTAAATTATTTATAGTTTCAATTAGGTACAGCAACATTAGCAATGAAAAATATAATTTCACAAAAAATAAGTAATAAATGAAACAGTTTATATACTAGGATTTAGTTGAAAATGAAAACAAAAGCTTATCATTAATAAAATATTGGATGGATGAGTCATCCTAAAATTTACCACCCAATAAGGGTGAGAAATTATATGACCAATTATACTTTAAAAACAAACGAAGATATTGTTAGTAACACAAAATGCTTTAATACACTAATAAAGTACTAAATAAACTGATTTTTTTGCTCAATATAATCCCTATAGTCCCCCTCGAAGTTTTTTCTTTGTCATGGTCTGTTGACTCTGTTTACACATAGTAAATATTTCGCAGATAAATATGGTTAGGAACGTATATTTTTAAAATCCGGTTTGATGACGAAGATTACAAATATTTTCTTGTAGCAAAGTCTGGCAAAGATCAAGAATGTCACACTGTTTATAGCGGTTAGCGGTTTTAATACATAAAAAATTAACAATGATCATAAACTATTAAATATTTTTCTGAAAGTATATTTGTTTGTATAAATAAAGCACTTACTTAGATATCACTAGTAGTACAAAAATAACACAAAAAACTGCTGAAAATGGAAGAAAATAAATGAATTACTTTTAGACAAAAAATGGGTGGATATATCGTCCAATAATACGCATGCGGGAAAGTTGTGTCTTGAGTTGCAAACATTTAGGGGAATTTCATTTAAAATTGAAAACTGTCATACTGCAACATTACATTAAAAATTAATTATGATAATATCCTTAAGTAAGTATATTAATTGTTTGCACGTATATTACTATTTGTTAATAAGTGTATTATTTAAATAATAATTTACGAAGGGTAAAGTTTCAATACTAAAACTTAAATTTAAAGTCCTTTCTTAATGTAGGCAACCAAAAATACGGTAGAGAGAAACTACGTTTTTAAATTTCGTTTTCAACCAAAAATAATAATTAAAATAGTTAATTTGCTTAATTACAAAATTATTTTGCTCCGTTACTCTTTTGTGCGATTTCTTCTTTTTGTCGATTTAAGTTTCTGATCAATTTCAATTTCTTTGTAGTGTTTCCCCTTAAGGATATTACCATACTACCATACTATAACCGTTAGTTCTCTGCTATAACTTGTATTCATATATTCAACGTAACCTAGGTTTTTGTATGGTTTAACTATATCTCTCTCTCTCTCTCTCTCTCTCTCTCTCTCTGTCACTCTCTTTCTCTTTATGTCTAATTCGTAGTAACTTTCTTTAGCCACTTTGTTTAAACTATTATTTACAATTTATCCTTTCTGCCAGCAATGTCGTAATACTTTTCACGCCAAGGCATTCTTCTGTTAACTTATCCAATGTTTTTGGAAGCTTAGCTTTCTTATCGCAGATCATACACTTCGCGCGACCACGCACTACATGGAGTAGTTAACGCAGTGCCATACGTATTTATTAATACAATATAATAAATAAATTAATATACAATAAAATAAAATAAAATATTATTTACTTACCCAGATTTAGCCATACGGCTCACACTCCCTGTAAGGGGAAAATTCACTCATCCCAGATACCTACGGTATCGAAAGGATTGAGCTCTGGTGGGACTCTTTTCGTGTTATCGAGCCCTAGATGACTTGATGACTCTGGAGTATATGCCAAAACTTTTCGTACACATCTGGACATTGAGTACAGCTTTTTGCATGGTCTTGTGGAGATGTTCATTCAGACCTAGCTTTTATATTTTCTAGAAGGTTCTTCGGAATGACTCCAGTAGTAGAGAGAATAATAGGTATTATCTGAGTACTTTCCATTCTCCACTGTCTTCGTATTTGAATTTTCAGATCACTGTACTTGGCGATCTTTTCGTTCTGTTTAACACGAGATTATTATTGTTGGGTATCGCCACATCAATTAGTGTTGTTTGGCTTCTTATTTTATTAACTAGTATGAGATCTGGTCTATTATGTGCCACTGTTTGGTCTGTGAGCACAGTGCGGTCCCAGTATAGGTTGAAGTTATCATTCTCAAGTATACTTTCAGGAACGCATTGATAATATGGGAGATGGCTTGATTGAAGAAGTCTAAGTTTGATGGCTATCTCTTAATGAAGGATCTTTCCTACCGAGTCGTGGCGTTCCTTATATTCAATAGCAACAAATGCTTGGCAGCCCCCGGTAATGTTGGATGTTTTCTTGAGCTCGACATCCATATCGGCATTTGTCATTTTGAACCTGAGAGTCTTTGACAATATACTATTGACAATATATTTCAGGTAATTTTTGGTTGGTATAACCTGATTATGAATGGCGAGTAATGAACCTTCCGTTTCAAGAAACCACTTTCCTGATGTCAGCCAACAGTTCGACGCTATATTGTCGACATGGGCGTGACTAACCTCATTAGGATGTCACCCGTGAAGACACACCATCCAGGTGCGCATTTTTTCGTCCTTGGTAAGATGGTTTATACGCATTTCTGGTTCACTCAGTTTGTTCGGTGTTGTATTATCTACTGCACAAATCGCGCTATGTAGAGTAGATGTCTCAGCCTGCACCCGGAATAGGAGACTTGCTCGCTTATATCCATAAGTCCTCGTCCACCTAAATACCCCGGTAATGTCGTTCTTTCTACTGCACTTCGAGGATGGTGTTTTTGTGCCTTTGTGAGGTGTGTTCGTACTTTTCGCTGAAGATTTTCTATATCCGTTTTTGTCCACTTAACAACACCAAATGAGTAGGCCAAGCGCGTAACAGGCATAGGTGTTTAGTGCCTTAAACAAATTTTTACTATTAAGGTGTGAACGAGGCAGCTGTTTTAGCCTGCGTATAAACCCAGTAGTTATCTCAGTTTTCATTTGCTTATAGTCAATCTTCCGCGCTTGCTTTATTCCGAGGAATTTATACCTATTATTTTCACCCATAGCCTCGATGTTCTGGCCGTTTTGCATATCGCATCCACCGGACTGAACCTTTCATTTGATTACATTTAAGACACAGCACTTACGGTCAAGGCCGAAGTGCATACTAATGTCATTAGAGACATTTTCCACTGTTTTCAGCATCTAGTCCAGGTGACTTCAAGTGGAAGCCAATAGTTTTAAATCTTCCATATACAATAGATGATTACGCTTTGTCACAACAGTAGTGTTATTTTTGATGCTAAAACCTGTCAGTTGAGTTCAGTAGCTGGGATAGGGGGTTCATCGCTACACAAAACCACAATGGACTCAACGAGTCTCCTTGAAATAGGTCCCGGTTGATTGCAATATTTTCAGTTTCGATCACTATGTTATCATCGACTTTATACATATATATATATATATATATATATTATATATATATATATATATATATATATATATATATATATATATATATATATATATATATATATTATATATTTAATATATCTATAAGCCATTCATGCGGCACTGAATCAAACGCTTTCTCTTTTACTTACTATTATTATATTATTATTACTATTATTTTATTATAATTTATAAAATAAAATACCATCGAATCGAATAGAATCGAATTAAATAAAATGTCGAATCGAATCAAATTAAATGTCGAATCTAATCGAATCGATTGTCGAATCGAATCAAATATTGAATCTAATCGAGTCGAATCGATTACCGAATATTATCGAATCCATTATCGAATCAAATTGAATAGATTATCGAATCGAAATCGAATCACATCGATTATTGAATCGAAACGATTAAGTAATCATATCAAATATCGAATCTAATCGAATCGATTATCGATTCGAATCTATTATCGAATAAAATCGATTATCGGATCGAATCGAATATTGAAACGAATCGACTATTGAATTGAATCGATTATCGAATCGAATCAACTAGTAAATCGAATTGATTAGCGAATCGAATTGCTTATTCAATCAAAGGTAAATAAAATAAAAAAAACTAAAATAAATTAAAGTAAAAGAAAATTATCTCTCCTCGCTTATACGATAAAAAAGCTATGCTTCCTCTCCTTAGTCACTCTGAAAGTGTCACATCCCGGTTTTTTTTTTTATAGCAAACCATCGTATCCGAATGATACTGGAAACTTTCCGTCTTTGTCTTTGATTCATAGGTCATGAGTCACCTGCTTTTTATGATCTCCCGGCATTCTCTTTTGTAAACGTTGGTAGTGGTAATGGGGGATGGAAATTGCTAGGAGTGACTCGGTGACTTCAAGAAGTCGAGGATGGTTGATGAGTTAAAAATTAGAGACTTGATAAGTTCTGGCATTGTTATGTGGTCAAGTACATATGAGGCTTGTTCTTCTGTATGTACACACATATGTATAACACCTCTGCTATATAGCTGTTAAGGTTCTATCTTGCGCTATAATCCTGATATTACAGAAACGATCCAAATGCGAACATTGTTAGGTTCAATTAGACGAAGTCATTATAAATTAGAGGTAAATAGGTTCCTAGTAGTAGTAGAAAAAGTTCCTTAGTTCACGGTAAAGCAAGTTTTATACGTATAAAAACACTATACAAACAATTAAAAACTTTTATTTCTGAAAAGTAATTATTACAAATAAAAACACGTAAAAACGTTCCAATATGCTCTTTGTAATATTATTTAATTACTTTACAAACATTTTAATAAAAAAATATGGAAATATACAAAAACAGTTAGTCTTTTTTGGCACTTTGCTTCAACTTGCCTGAATATACAAAATGTTTATTATTAGGACCAGAATATGCTTAATATAAATATTTTAAAACCATTCGCTCCATATTTACACGCTCATTCTTACGTCTCTATCAAAACTATAATTTAAAAAGTAAACTATCTGGAATTTTAGAAGACTTTCAAAGATAACTTTATAGTTTCACGTCCAAATGTTATTTCTTTCATTGTAGATCATAAAGTGAGCTATATAGATCATTTTTTTCCATTTACATTACGACACTTCAGTTCTTACAGTTTATTAAGATGCTTTTACTTATAAAATGTATATCTGCTCATTATAAATTATTGGTAGACTTTATAAAAAGTTAATGTTTTGTAAACATCACCAAAAGTGTGTAACAGCTACAAATAATTAGAAACTAATGCATATTTGTTCACTAGCAATGTTCTGAACAGCTGAAGGGGAGTAGGATAGGAAAACAGTTATGAGTAATGTTTTGAGCATTCATTATTTAAACTAACTGCACGGGATCGGGGAAGGATCTTTTGGCACATTTATTATTGTTATTAATTGCAACAGAATATGGCCACTTAAAGGTAACTACAAGGGATCAGGAAATTCATACAGGTTTGGCTGTAAATTTTTTTAAACAGCTACCTACATAAGACCAAGAAAGGAATGCAAATTTAGGCCAACTATGCAGTTTGCACTTGAAATTAATACAGTCCACAGATTTATCAGTAAAAAATAATCTGAACAACTGCTTAGGATTAGGAGAGGATTGCTAATTTTGAAACATCGTTTCATTAGCATTTAGTCTAAGCAGCTGCAAAGGATGAGGAAAGAAATGCAGCTCTCAGGAAAAGTTATTTATAGAGGTAATTATGCATGTATCGACAAACTAGAGCAGTCATTCCTCTATTTATTTATTTATGCTTATGGCCTATTTGATCAATCTGTAAAATGTTTAAAGCATTAAAAAAATAGAAACAAGATTTTGATATATTTTTTTTTAGAGTTGCACACATTTTCAGAGCACAATAAAATCATGCATTAGTAAGTTTTTTTGTCGTTTACTAAGAAACAACCCTAATATGGTATACGAGTACCTATATAATTACCTTATTAATTATACCAATGGTATATTATATTGAAAAAAACTTAGATACCTATTGCCAAATTTGATATAATTTCTGTAGGTGATCGCAAAGTTGAATCTGTTTTGACAAGGGAATAAATTATAAAACTTAAAAATCGTCTTCGAAAGTATTTTAACATTTTTGCAAGGCACGTTTGTACATATACCTCTTTCAACGTTTTAATTTACTAAAATACCAGTAGTTTTTTTGTTCAAAAATCCCCACACATTTGTACAGTCAAAATATGTTATGGCTAAAGTAAAAATTATATATAAAAATACAATTTTATACAATAGGGGATACTTTAAAAACAATTGTATGATAAAAATAAAATAGAACAGTTTATAAATAAATAAAATACCACAGGCACTGACACGACACTTTTAAGGCACATTTTTTTAGTGAATCGATCACCGCAGCAAAATTTGTTGTGTGGTTTTGCTAAAGCGATTCGAATCCTGAAATATCGCTTCCCTGAAAATGAAAATTGGTTATTAGTAAGTATTACTAAAATCAGTATAATAATAAATAAAATAAAATATTAATATAAATAAGGTCTCTTCAAAAAATTAAGAAACATAAAACACTACTTGGAAATATAAAAAGTATAACCAATAAAAACTCCGACTAAGAAAGCACAATAGTAAAAGCAGCAATTTGCAATAGATACAGGAGAGAAAATACATAAGTAAAGAAAATTTTTGGCTGTATTTACAATTAGTTAATTAAGACATTAGAACTTTCTAAAGCTCTGGAGAGATTGGGAAATGCCGAAAGGTCTTAATCTCGATGAAGCAAAAATCCGAATCTGCACCTCCACGTGGTAGAAGGTGGGCAATATAAATGTTGATGGCTAACGCAGATAGGGACCGAGTGATTGCCGGTATAAGCAATCCCCTGCTTACCGACCAACGGCTTCGGGGCGGACGAGTCGGTAGGTAGTAGGATACTGTTTTGTCTGGAACTGAGAAATCGACTCCAAAGGCGGACTCCAATAGATTGGTCAACGGCAGAAGAATGCAGAAGGCAACGGGAAACCACTGCATTAAAGGTTCAACAGAACATCCATAGTCAATCATCATGACAAATACGTAAAAAAAATCAAACCGTTAGTGATCATGGAACCCGGAAACCGAGATCCGGCAGGGAAGGAAAAGATCATGTAAAAGACGAGGCCTTCCAGGTCGCTAGCAAGCAAAATCCTCGTTTAGATAATAAAATTCCACATCTAAGAATGCACAAATGTAGACCAATAAAACTTGCAACATAGAATGTAAGAAGCTTGTACCAGCCAGGAAAATTAGACAATTTAATACAAGAAATGACCAGGATGGAAATAAATATACTGGGCATAAGTGACGTACAATGGCAAGACACCGGCAAACATGTAACCAAAAACGGCATGATGTATTATGCTGGAAACAACGATCCGGCACATCGCTATGGAGTCGCAATCTTGTTAGACACAGAAACTAATAAATCAGTTATAAGCTTTACTCCTTACTCAGAGAGAGAGTGATAATGGTTCAGCTGAAGACAAACATACAACAAGTTAACTTAATTCAAGTATACGCACCAACAGCGGATAAAGATGAAGATGAGATAGAACATTTTTATATGGAGTTAGACACAATTTTAAGATCTATTAAAAAAGAAGACATTACAATAGTAATAATGCATAATAAAGACATTAAAATAGTAATAATTTAATGCTAAAGTCGGGAGAGGAAAAGTTGACAAATATGTTGGGGAATTTGGACTAGGTGACAGTAACGAAAGAGGGGATAGACTTGTAGATTTTTGTCAAAATGAACATTTTGCAATAATGAACACAATGTTTCATTATTGCAAGATCCATTTACTCTGTGTTGTCATTCTAATCAGAGTCTTCCTCTTTTTCGACGTCCTAGCGGTTGCCACTTAGGACTTTTTTGGGTATCTGGACAAGCCCATACCACCTCAATTGTTTCTTCCTGATTCGTTCCTGCCTAGAAATGTTTTAGCGCTATAATGGATGTCTTTTTATCCACTGTTTCATGAATATTAAATTTTCTTCCATTTGTTACATTTTTACTCCACAGTATACCATTGAAATATCCCGAGTAACACCCAAGTAGTCAAAGCTCTATCAGCTGGAAATGTTTTGTGCGTTTTCGAGGTCTAGGTTCTCTGCTTGGCTTCCAACACAGAGATATTTGATTTTAGTTGTAAGAGGTAAATATTTACCTTGTTTTATCCTTGACTTTTAAAACGAAGAAATAGTTAATACATGCCAGTGGAAAAAAAACAGTAACGGCACATGTTAAAAAATTGATAAACTAATGCTCATTACGAAGTTCATTAATTTCGATATTTTTTTTCCTTTAAAGAAATCGTTTAGGAAAAATGAGAAAAATGAAGACAACATTTCTCTCATAAAGTTAAATGAATGGGAAGAATATTATACGAAACTGCTGAAAGAGGATAGAGTAGAGTACAGATGGGAAAAGATAAGGGAATTAATGGACAACAGAGACGAAAGACAGGAAATCCCTATAATAACATTATCTGAATTGACGGAAACCTTAAAAGAGGTTTAAAAACGGAAAAGCCGCAGGGCCTGGAGACATTTCCATAGAGCTGGTTAAATATGGGCCGACTGCACTTTTAGAATTAATAGTAGACCTTTTCAATAAATGTATGTGTGGAGACCAGGAAATTCCTAAAGATTGGAATAAATCTTATATAAGCTCCATATATAAGAGAGGGAATAAAAGAGACTGTTCCAATTATAGAGGTATTAGAGTGACGAGCTCTGTGGGCCGGTTGTACGGCAGAATATTAAAGAAGAGGGTTGAAAGACAGATACAAGATATTGAAGAACAAAGCGGCTTTCATACCGGGAGATCCTGCCTTGATAATATATTTATCCTACGACAAATAATTGAAAAGCGTGTCGAAAGAAGTAGAGAGACCATTTGGAATTTATAGACCTGAGAAAGCATATGATAGTGTCCCGTTAAAGAAAATGTTTGAGGTCCTCAAAAGGTCCGGATTGGATTCGACGTATATCCGAGCGATATATAAATTGTACGAAAATGCAGTTAGTTGTGTAAAAATTGGAACCAGAACCTCAAATGAATTTAAAGTCACTAAAGGCCTAAAGCAAGGATGCTGTTTGTCACCGACACTCTTTAAAATATACGTCCAAGAAGCATTGAGGAATTGGAGAAATAAATGTAGATTTATGGGCATCGAAGTGGGACAAGAAACTCTGTATACATTGTTGTTTGCAGATGATCAGGTGGTGGTTGCAACCGATGAGGAAGATATAAATTATATGAATCGAAAATTATTTGAGGAATATGCCAAATGGGGGCTTACTGTAAACATAAGCAAAACAGAATATTTAAAAATTGGAGGAAATACCACAGATCTGAGGCTTGAAAACGCAGTCATAAAAGGCTGCAACCAGTATAAATATCTAGGAAGCATCATATCAGCAGATGGCAGAGTTAAGATAGATGTACAAAACCGAATAACCCAAGGGCAAAAATGCATCCGAATACTGAATTCATTACTGTGGTCTAATAAAATAAAGATGCATACCAAACTTCGCGTATACAGAGCAATTGTAGAACCAATTACCACATATGGTGCCGAATGTTGGACGATGAAAAAGAATGAACGAGATAAAGTAGACGTTGTGGAAATGGATTATCTTAGAAGGTCATGTCGAGTATCGAGAATGGAAAGAATCAGGAATGAGGAAATACGAAACCGTACAGGAATTAGAGATACTCTTTCAGATATAATACAAGGAAGGCAATTACAATGGTATGGTCACGTGATGAGAATGGAGGAGGAGCGGTGGCCAAAGAAAGCCTTAATGTATGTTCCGCCAGAAAGAAGGAAAAGGGGAAGACCACCAAATTCCTGGAGAAGAGAAATTACAAAAACAATGCAATCTAGAGGCTTAGAAGAGGGAGATTGGGGAGATAGGAAAAGATGGAGGCTGAAATGCGGGAAGCGGCAATCGCCGTAGGACCCCCGTTATATGATGATGATGATGAAAGAAATCGTAATTTTATTCTTTAAGGTTCTTACCCCAAAATACTTACCCTATCTGGTTTGTACAGATGAGTATGAGGAAGCATAAATGTAGACCCCAAGTCTCTTTCGGCCATCGTGTTCGCCTCCTGAAAATATACAGATTTTTAAATATTGCATTAATTGTTGGTCTGGGTATTTGTATTATTAAGTATGACTTATTTTTCTTCATTTTAGAGATTAGGCACATCATGTCTGCTCTAGCGTGAAATTTTGTCCTTCTTTAAAAGGGACGTCCTCCATTTCTTGTTCTTTTTGCTTTTTAATTTAGTAATTGGTAAGTTCTCTTCTGTTTATGTATTGTTTTATTTTGTTCTGCATTCTTTCAATTTCTCATTCATCGAGTACTTATTCAGTTTTTGCCTTGTCTTTCTCCAATAGTACTAGAACCCAAATCTAGCCTGGACTTCCTCCAAAGTATACCTCTAACTTTGCCGGTCTCGCGCCGATCTTCTCCAAGTTCTCACGTCTAGCAAATTTTACTCATCCGCTACCACTTCATCCTCCCACATTTTCCGTGGGATCCCTTTTGGTCTTGCGCTCTACATTTTCGTTCTAGGTCTCTTTTCGGCAATACTTAGACCTCCATTCCCACTATATGAGCAGCCCATCGAAGTCTTGTAACGATGAGTCCAAGCCATCACCGTTAAACCAGCGTGCGCGCGAACCAACCCATGAAGTAGGAGTGTATCGACAGTAGAAAGGGCAAAACTTTGCTATATAAACCGCATTATTTCCTCATAGAGGCAGAATCGTCAGGTGTTGACTGAAGGTTCTCTTCTCCCCTACCCCGGCTTGTGGACGTGTTGAGTTCACAAGTTGTTTCCGTTCCATACCGCCAGCCGGAGAGCGTGTTGAGCTCTCCATTACCCGTACTCCGAAGCAGTCGTGTTGAGACTGTCGAGGAGTGTCCTATTAACCCGAATCACTTAAGGGACGTGTTGAGTTCCTTTCTTTTCTTTGTACCTATCGTCCGCTGTTATTAAATCGACACATCGTTCACGTAAAATTCCGAAAACACACTTCGATTGCCGATAACACTAATTTCATACGACAAGGTCAAACTTAATTTGAATAAATAGGCCAGGTACTGAGAAGACTAAACTAAATTGTAAATATGTACATAAGATTTTTGTCAATTTAATTTAAGGAAGACAATAAAGTTTTATTTTGATTTTGAACTCTGTCTCTGACTGTCCAAAAGCTACCCGGATAGTGACTTCCCAGTACTACTTCTGAAGCTAGGGTTTGGTAAAAAATGTAGCTTGGCTTTTCTCCAAACGTTGTCTATGGAACATTTTGCTGTAAAACAGATTTCTATGTTGCTGGTTTTTCCATCTGCCAGCGTGATCTTTAAAGCTTTTCTGTCGCTTTTTGTTCCACATTGTTCCAATATTTTTTTACCTTTTTGTCCTATAAACGAATTTTGGGCTCCTGTGTCTATTAGTGCTTTTAACTTTTTACCGTTGCTGAACGTTATCGTTGTGTGGGGTCGTTGATCTGTATAGTGTGCGTAGCTGGAGGTTGTTAGGGAGGACTCTAAATGCTGACTGGGTTGCCTCCTTCTTGTCCAGTCCTGTTGGAGTTTTCCGGTCGGCTTCTACATTGGCAGTTATTGGAAGTTGTTCCTCGGGTTCCGCAGTGGCTGCAGAAGAGTACAGCGATAGCTCTGCAGTTTCTTCTATTGTGGCCTCTGCGGCCGCATCTCCAACAACAAGTCTGTCTGTCGAAATTCTGTATTTTGTTATTACGACTATTTGCCTGTGTCCAGTCACACCTTGTATTGTTTCTGTTATATATTTCTTTTTGGACCATATCATATTCTTCCGCTAGTCTGATGATGTCCTGTGTTGACGATACGTCTTGCCTCTTTATATACAACTTGTATTTCGGGTTCATATTGGTGTATATCCTGTTTAGTTCTTCTTGGTGATTGAATTCACCATGTCTTCTGATCATTGTTTGAATATCAATGATGTAGTCTTTTACACCTTCGTTGTTTCGTTGGAGTCGGTTCCGGATTTGAGCTTCCAGAGATTGCGTGAGAACGGAGGAAACGAAGAAATTGCGGAAATCTTGTTCGAAGTCTTTTAATTCGTTCCAATATTTATTATTGTTTCTGTACCATAGTAATGCTTTCCCGTTTAATGTTTCTGGTAGAGCTTGTAAAACGTGGGTGTCTTGTAGGCCGTAAGCTGTCTGGAGTTCTTTCAACCGTTCTATGAATTCTATTGGGTCTCTTGAACCGTCAAAGTGTAACCCCCATTTGCGTACTATTTCCATCTTTCTTTGTCTGTCTTCCATCTGGTTTTCTTCTATTTCCTCTGGGTTTTGGCCTTTTTGAGTTGGTGCCTTGATGATCGCAACTAATCTCGCTCTTAGCTCGCTGAAATTCCCTTCCGTCGACTGTTCTCTGTTTGTTAATTCGGCTATAAGTTCGTCTTTCTTTAATAGGTACACCCAACTAACCTTCGACGTTTCCGGAGCGTCTGTCATTTTTGAACTGTGAATCACCCTGTATTTGAATAAAGTTTGAAATGCAGTACTGTCTCATGAAAATAAAATTCGGAATTCGGTCGGTATTATTGTTTAAAACGAATTTTTCTGCTCGGGCGCCATCTGTGACGTCCTCTCGTAGGAGTCACTATCCGGGTAGCTTTTGGACAGTCAGAGACAGAGTTCAAAATAAAAATAAAACTTTATTGTCTTCCTTAAATTAAATTGACAAAAATCTTATGTACATATTTACAATTTAGTTTAGTCTTCTCAGTACCTGGCCTATTTATTCAAATTAAGTTTGACCTTGTCGTATGAAATTAGTGTTATCGGCAATCGAGTGTGTTTTCGGAATTTTACGTGAACGATGTGTCGATTTAATAACAGCGGACGATAGGTACAAAGAAAAGAAAGGAACTCAACACGTCCCTTAAGTGATTCGGGTTAATAGGACACTCCTCGACAGTCTCAACACGACTGCTTCGGAGTACGGGTAATGGAGAGCTCAACACGCTCTCCGGCTGGCGGTATGGAACGGAAACAACTTGTGAACTCAACACGTCCACAAGCCGGGGTAGGGGAGAAGAGAACCTTCAGTCAACACCTGACGATTCTGCCTCTATGAGGAAATAATGCGGTTTATATAGCAAAGTTTTGCCCTTTCTACTGTCGATACACTCCTACTTCATGGGTTGGTTCGCGCGCACGCTGGTTTAACGGTGATGGCTTGGACTCATCGTTACAGTCTTTGAAGTTTAACAAATTCTGAGATCGGAACCTGTATGAACAGTTTGTAGGGTTCATGGTTGTATCTGGATCTTCATACTCCATTTTACTTAATAGGTTCAAATATCTTCATTAGGAATTTTCTTTAAAAATGTTATTTTTATTTTTGTGTTTTCCTATTATAACTATAACCAACTATACATACTGGTCTACTTATAGTTTTTTAGACCCTAATTTTCGATCTCCAGTGGGTGTTTTTAGAGAGGAACACGTGGACAAGTAAAAAATAAACTTTGTTTTCCTTTACTGCTCTTCTTTGAACTTTTAAATCTTTTGTGAAACTTTCTACAGTTTAAATATCGTCCTTTAATTCAGTTGTGCGTCTGTTTCGCCTAGCTCTTACCTGTGTTAGCTTTTTGTCTTTTAAATATTTATTTCTAGTCCGCTACTTTTTGCCCCTGTTTTTAATTGTAAATACATTTCTGTTGCCTCCTCCGTTCTACTAGACATAATGCTAATGTCATCGGCATAGGTGGCAATCGGTGTTAATTTATTTGTTAAGAGATTAGCTTTTCCTTATTCAATTGTCTTATGACATATTCGAGAGTCAGGTTGAATATTATCCGCGTCTTTGCTTTAATTCTTTGATATATACAATAGGCCAGTTTTCTACAGTTAGCGCCGTTTCTTGCATCCTAATTTCCAGCGATCTACCTAATTTTCTTCTAGTGGACGGAGTCCATTTTTCTATTTTTTTGGCCATCTATTTTCAGGCATTCTCTGCAGGTCTCCATACCGGTTTAGTCTTTTGACTTCAATTGTGTCTATTATGTCTAAATCAATTTCCATTTCTCTCCTTCCTTCGTCACTCTATCAAGTCTAGTGAGCCGGCAACATCGCCTTCAATAGTCTATTTCCATGGCCTTAATTTTTGATAGATTTCTTTGATTTATTCCCCAAAAATTTGGCACCGTCCAACCAATACTTTCTATTGTTGTTTTATAAATTATTCTTTTATTTTCTTTTGTTACTTTATTATTCCACAATAGTCCGTGTAGCTGTCTAGTGATTGATCTTGCTTGGCCAATCCTGAAATATATTTCTTCGTTACGGCCTGATTTTGATGTTATCTGGACTCACAAGTGAATGTTTCAGTTGATTTTATAGTTCCTATTTTATTTTGTAGACTTTCTGGTTTTTATATTGCAACTAAGTACTCGTTTTTTTTGTATATTAATTGTAAGGCCCCACTTGGTGTATTTCCCTTCCAGTTTTCTTTGATTATTGAAAATACCTCAATGAGCTCGTTTTGTATTTTGACAATTGCTGTTGACGAGTCCATTGTTGTTTTTACTAGTCATATTTATTTTTGGGGGATGTTAAAGCTATGCAATATTTGATATAACTTGTGTCTATTAATTGAGTCGTAGGCCTGTATGAAATCTATGAATATGCTGTAGGCGTCAATGTCATATTCCCACGATTTGTTTCATCGTGAATAGCTGATCAGTTATATATCTTCCTTGTCAAAAACCGGTTTGATATTCCCCTACAATATTTTAAGTTAATGGTTGGAATTGTTTATTGAGTGCACAAGAGGGTTGTGTCGCTATAATTGTTGCAATTCAGTTTTTGCAGTGTTTGTCTTGCGTCTTCAGTTTCTCGTCTACTTCGGGAACCTGTTGGTAGGATTTATTGCCAGATCTGCCAAAATCTATTTCTAAAATTATGTATAACAAAATGATACTTACATCGTTAGGATGCTGAGAAGAAGGCTTTGAATCGTAGTCTGTCCGAAGACATTTCATTGGAGGTGGAATTGTAGTTTCGTCATATGACCTCGCTTCAGAAACAGTCCTAAAATGATTGGAATATGTTAATAACAATATCTCTTAACACACACGCCAAATCATTAACTTAAAAAATTAAGATTTTTTAGGAGAAACAGAACACAATCAAAGCAATATCAAAAAGTAACTGAAGAATTTTTTAACGAAGAGAAATGTCGGAAGATCACCACTACAATGTGTGAAAACAGTTAAGATAAACTAGACTGAAGTCAGAGAAAACACAAAATCATGTAAAAAGCCTAGAATAGATCATTATCCAGCAGTGTATTGACGATGATTAGAAAATAAAACAAGAAAGAGGAATAAATAAAAAAGAGCTAACAACCCATTATAAAAGAGTGAGATTAGAAGAATATTAAGTAATATTAAAATAAACAGAAACTGATTTAATACTTACATTACTCTTGGTAACATATCTAACCAATTCGACTCACTGTCCATGTGGATTTCACTCTTCAGATCATCGTCCCTAAAATACGAAGAGAAAATAAAATATAATTGTTTACATCCCCCTATTCATTCTTATCTATATAATTGAACATTATTTTTGGCTCCGCTTATCAGGTGAACATTCCTGGTTTATTTTGACGCAATTATTTTGATTCTATAGTATCAAGTACGTACAGGACCCTCATGCACAGAAATCTCTTGTGTCTCGAATCCTTCGTGATCACTCTACCGTACTACCTCCCTAATCATCTGTACTCCATTTAGAAATGCATAACAGTTACGATTACATTAATTAAAATATTAACAATATTTAAATTAATGTTTTATTCTTTTTTAAGTGCTAGTGATTTTATCCTTTAAAAGACTAAATATATTCGTTTTCTAGTAGTTTGAATAGTTAATGGTAGTTTGTTGGTCATTACTGAAATATTCAGTAATACTTGATATCTTTAACACATGTTAAAGAACACATATAAAGAATATTTAGTCTTCAAGATAATTTAAAAAATTTCTTTTATAATTCTTCAAAAGCTATCCCTACCAACAACAAGGAAAGCGGAAAAAGGAGCAAAAAACCAATTCAAAAAGTGTTAAACCATAATCATATTAAGTACTTACACCAACGACTTTCTCAGAGTGTTAAACTGTGACCTAGTACCAGTGCTGGACAATAAATCCGCGCTGATTTTCTGTATAAGCGTCGCATTCTCACTTCTGTCCGCTTCAGTACCGCAAGTCGTACCCAAAGTACCCATATTGTTCACAACCGTAGCTGAAACTTCAAATCCAGCTGAAATCAGCGCTCCCGAGGTCTTTCTAGAGCTAAGTTTTTCCTCTATCAGTGATTCACTGGGAGCGTTGCTGAACTTCCTCACAGGTTCTGACTGTAATCAAGAAAAAATTATTGTTAATGGTGCAATTCACTTTTTCATCGTATTTTAGGTGATCTATGAAAATCTTCTATCTTATTTATGTGTAATAAATCAATCAAATAATTAAACACCAGTGAAAACTTACTTTGCTTGGACACGGTCCTGCGTCCAGAAAACTCAACAACTTGGCTTCGTTCGGTATAGACGGTACTGAAGGTTTCCTCACGTCGAAGCTAGTGTAGTTAGATAACGGAGATGTAGGTGGCGCTGGGTGGTATTTAGCTCGGGGAATCATGACAGTTAAGGATCTGTCTTTCTGGTCGTCGAATGTGATACCGTGGTTAGTCGCTCCTCCTTCTCCTCGTTCCGCCACTTGGAGGGACACTTTTGAGGCTTTCTTTTGAGGAGCTGGCTTTTGTTTCTGAAAGCAAAATAATTTGTATTTTATGTTCTTTAAAGATGTATATACCAGAGTACCCTAAAAATGTGCATTCTTCGGTGTTCACATAGGGTGTGCGAATACAGATCTTGTTAAAAAGATGTCATAGCGAAGGAAAAAATATTCTGAAAACTTGATATGATAATAGAAGAAAACAATGGAGCTATTCTTTGCAAAATGACGAATGTAGTGACGATGGTAAGTTTATCGGGCTGGAGATATTATTGTTATACATTCTTGTAGAAAACTAAGGAAAGAAGATATTGATATTTTTATTTTATCTGCTTTGAACAGGCCTGTAGAAAGACCGTTGATATCTTCTGACATAAAAACTCCGCTATCATGAATTTACAAATCGAGTAAACCTATTTTACAGTTGAAAGTATAGAAAAATACTGTGTTTGACATCGTTGTAGTTTCATCAACATACTAGTAAGAAAAGTGACTATATTAATTGTGTTCAAAAACAACGTTCCTCACCTTCACATACCGCGACGTTTCTGACTTGTTATCCTCTTCAGAGCTAGTGTCTTGAATCATCGCTCGTCTATCCAAGGTATTTCGTCTAGCTGAGGCTCCCTGTGGTAATATACTTATTCCTCCAGCAACTCCCACAGGTCTTGGTTTGCCCTTTACACATGTGAGAATGATGCAGGTAAGCAGTAGTCCAAAGAGTACTGTTCCAAGTGTCACCAAAGCTATCAGTAAAACTAAAAAACAAAATAAGAAGTATGATCAAAATATTGTTCGCAAATAAATTTTATAAAATTTTTTGAATAATAATTATTTTAAGTAATTATTGGTAGTTACTTTTTAGATTAATGTGACAATACTGTCCAGTGTACCATTGGAAGCACTCGCATAGTACTTCGTCAGCTCCTCTGGAGTAACAAGTACCGTGATAGTTGCAATTTTCACACCCAACTTGCTCAGCAGAACATACTCTACCGGGATACAGCATATTTTCAGACATGTCCGAAAAACCTAAAAAATTACAAGAGTATATTACTAAGAAATATAATACAGTACAGCGACTTTATCAAAAGTGAAAACAATTTCAACAAATATGGCGAAAAGATAATTTTAAGCTTAATTTAAAATTTTTACCTTCTTTGCAGCTACACGAGTAGGTACCCTTCAAATTGAAGCAATGTGCGTTTTCTGAGCAATCATGGAGGTTGGTGTGAGCGCACTCATTAAAATCGTGAGCTTCCAGCTCCATCAGTGGACTGGCAAAAATGTCTGTACCACCCAAACTGAAGCTGTTATTCCGAAGATATGTTTTAAGTACATCTTCCAGTCGGCGTTCCTCGATGTTCTCGGAAAGTTGTAAATGGAATTTGCTGATGATTCCTTTTGGTGCTGGCTCGAATGTATGAACTTTGACACCTTAAATTTAATACAATGAGTATATTGGTTTAATATATTAATAATAGTATAATGATCTTAATCTTAGTTGTCTGTAGGTAAGCAAAAAACTTATAATTTTAGTAAAGTTTATTTAAAAATATCATTTTGGAATTCTAAGAAACACAAAGTAGTAAACATAACTTTGCTAACAAATGGATTAATTTCTGTTGGATTAATTGTTGGAAAGCCAATGTTGGTAACACCAATTTGCATACTTGGAATATTACTAAGAACAATAAATAAAATAAGAAAGAGTCTATAGATGTAAATCTATCCTAAAAAATTATTCTTTTTGACTTCAGTGGCAAACTAAAGCATTTCTTTTGACAAAAAAAAGTAGTACCAAAGATGAGTTACAGAAAAGGGGTTGCTGAAGACAGACAGGAATCATATAAGAATCAGTAAGATGCTGATTTCATGAACTTAAATAGTCAATCATATTTTACATTGACTGAGAGGTAATAGATCCTACGTTAAAAACAATTTAAATCTATGGTACTCATTCGCTAGACCTGTACAAGCTGGTACAGGATTCTAGAATTCTGGTACGGGTATTAAAAGGCTACAACCAGTTCGACTGGTTTACAACAAATGTTGTAAAGAAATCTTTTACAGAAAAATAGCTGCTAAACCATTCCTAACTAGTAATGCTACAAACTTACCGTGGAAAATATCTCTCAAATCAGATTGCATCACCATTCTATCCAAGGCTTCACCAGTTGCTTGAACAAATTTGTAATGTTCTGTTGAATTAGTATTTTTCAAATCCTCGTAAAAGTGGAGTGGGTCTTTCCCGATTCTGTCTAGAGTTATCTTCAAGTCGAAGGTATACGTGGCTGAAAACGATAACGTGATAATATTGTAAGGCAATACGATATATATATGTATGTATGTATATATATTATATATATATATATATTATATATATATATATATATATAAATGTTAAAGACTTACGTAGACAAGGTCTATCTGGAAACATTCTGGCAAACCCAGGACGGCATGTACATCTCATATGTCCGCCAAGTTTTTGGCACAATTCATTTCTGGACGCTTTACATTCAGGTTCGCACCTGTCCAAAAGTTTTTCCTCTTGTTCCTCAGGATGATTAAGTAGTACTCCCGCAAGAAGTACGTTATTATCTTTATTCGTAGTAATAACTTCATCTCTTTCTTGAGTTTCGTAACTTGTTGGTACTTTAACAATATTCTTTGTATTTTTATCTGTCATTACCACTAGAAATGAGTCGTTATCTTCTGGATGCACCTGTTGATCTTTTTGTTTTGTTATTGGCGGATCAGTTTCGTGAATGATAAAGTCTTCAAGATTATCTTCTGAACTTTCACCATATACTGTATCGTTATAATTTAAAAATGGTGCCAAAAGTGTCGGTTTTACTTGGATTGAAGGATACGGACTACCATACGCGTCATCTGGGTACAAAGAACTAGCTTGTTTTACAGTTGTCGTAATAGTCTCAATAATACTTGTTGGTTTAACAAGTGTGTGAACTTCTGTTACAGTATCCACAATGGTCATCTTTTCTGTTTTTGTTACCAGTATCGTTAACGTTGAAGGAGTCATTCCAAGAGACTTTATGACAGTCGTTTTTGTGATCGTTACTGTAGCTGTTTTGGTATGGGTAATATACCTCGTGGGAATAGGTATTTTACTCTTTGTTTCGTTGTAAATGGTTTTGATGGTTGACGGCAAAGGCGTAGTTGAGTCTAATATAACTTTTATTTCGTTTCCTGCATGGTGAACACCTGGTGTTACAATATCATGAATATTATTATTATCAATACTTTCGGCAGGTATTCCACTTTCCATACCCAAAAGATCAGGTTCAGTGAGCACCTTTTGGGTTGAAATTGAAGCTTCTGATGAAGATAGTTCTACTGCGGAAGGTGACGACTTCGTTGGTTCAGATTCTAAAGTAGGGTTACCAATAATAATTTCCAGCGATGGTTTGATCTTTATAGATGGGGATGGACTGATTGTTGTCTTAGAAGTAGTAGATTTAGTCGCTTCAGTAGGTTTGTTCGTGAAACCTGGATACACCGGTCTTCGTCTTGGCGTTGTAGTGGTACTACTACTAGTAGTACTTATTGCCGTGGTTGTTCGGTAACCGGGACGTCTGGTATATGGTCTTCTGGTTCTATGTCTGTTACCTTCGGTGGTACTAGTCGTTGGTTTTGTACTAGGAACGTCTACCTCCATCGAATACTTGGGGGTCGTTACAGTTATAGGTAATTTCGGTGACGTTAATGGAGGTGGTACCATACCAATAACCTTCTGAGTATCTTGTGGTGGTGGTGGTACCATTTCTTCTGATATATTTGGTGTATAGAGTGGCTTCTGATTGTCTGTAGGTACTACGGTGTAAATGTTTGCTGGTTGTTTCGACATATCTGGAGGAGGAGGTGGGGGTTTCATGATTTCCATGTCAGTTATCTGTTTTATACTATTGTTGTAATTGAGTGGTATTTCTCCAGTATTAAATTGTGATTCCTTATCAACTGTACTTAAAGGAGTGCTAGTTGTGAGCGGTAGGTTCACGTTCTTACTCGGTTTGGGCAGAAGTACATCCTTTTTGACAATTTCGTTGAAAGAAATCGTTTTTGATGGTACTCCAGAGAAGGGTTTTTCAGTTTGAGTACCAATTCGCAGTCCTTGGTCTTTATCGTTAGCTATAGATGTTATAGGAGGTCTTTCTCTGTTATTAAATATTTGGAACTTATCAATAGGCAACGATGTAACAGCTGGTCTGTTGTTAAACTCTTTATAGTTAGTAACAGGTCGAGGCGATGCAGTTGGACGACGATAATCTCTGTAGATGTTAACATTATAAGGAGAAGTTATTGGTTTTTCTCTGTTGTAGTCCTTAAAGTTGTTTATAGGTAGTGAAGTTACTGTTGGTCTTTCTCTGTAGGTGTTTTCTTTGAATGTATTTGGTGGCTGGGAGGTAGATGTTAGTCTTCCCAGATTACTGTCTTTATACGAGTTAAAATTTTGAGGCTTTTCTCTGTTGTTACTTATTGGTAAGGATGTAACAGATGGTCTTTCGTTGTAGGTATTCTTTGTTGTATTTATATGTATTGGTTGAGAACCAATTGATGGTCTCTCCCGATTATCTTTATATACGTTTATACGTTGGGAAGGAGTTACTGGTTTTTCTCTATTGTACTCGTTAAAGTTGTTGATTGGCAGTGACGTAACTGTTGGCCTTTCTTTAGAGTTATTTTCTTTAACAGGACGTGTAATCTGCGAAGGTGCCTTTGGTTTTTCTCTATTATAATCTTTGAATCTGTTAATAGGAAGTGAAGTTACCGTTGGTCGATCTTTATTGATCGGATAAGAGAATAAAGTTTCTTTAAACGTGTTAATAGGTAGTGACGTTACAGTTGGCCTATCTTTGTTCTCTTTGTTAAAGAAAGTTTCTTTGGTTTTCTCGTCTTGGTCGATAAAGATAAGAACTGGTTTTTGAGTTGTACCAGAGTTATGTGTTGGTATTTCGTCTCTAAAAACAATAGGTTTTTGAGAAATTGTATATAATGTCTGATCTTGAGTTGGAATGGCATTCAAATTGTCTATATTTTCATTATTAACTTCATTAAAAGCATTGTTTATGCTGTGCAAAAGGTCTATACCTATGGTAGTTTGATTGTATATAACTTTTTCTTCTGGTGGTTGTGAAGCATGGTCTAATGGTTGTTTAAATACATTATGTCCGGTAAAGACAGGTCTTGCTTCTGGTTTTTCTGTTGAGCTAGACTGCATTTTAACTATCTCATGAGGAATTTCTCCAGGAAGTAAAGGTCTGCTATTAGATTCCTGTACAACTTCTCCATCTTCATTTTCTAAATCATCTTCTTTATGATTACCAACCTCTTGGTCCATGTTTATCTCATGATAGTTTGACTGAATTGGTTGAACAGGTTTATGAGGATAGTTGAACTGTATTTGTTGAACAGGCTCGTGATAGTTGGACTGTACTGTTTGAACAGGTCTGTGGGGATAGTTGGACTGTATTGTTTGAACAGGTTTCTGAGGATGGTTAGACTGTATTGGTTGAACAGGATCGTGAGGTTGGTGATTTATATTACTTGGTGGTAAGTGCACTTCAAAGATTGGATAGGAAGGTTTAAAATCGGGTGGTAGTTTTGGACTTTGTTCTTTTTCTGGACCCACTGGAATAGAAATGGGTCTACTATTTTGTTTTTGATCATATGGTCGCTTATTCTGAAGCCTAGGTGTTGTAGGTGGAAGCATAAACTCTGATATCTCAGGTTCTTGCTTTTGGGATACGTAATTTGGCCTCAAAATGTTCTTTTTATTGTTGTTGTATTTCTGTAAGTATTGATGCTTGTTATTTGGAATTTGTGGAACTATCCCATTTGGTAATCTGTTGGGAAAAGGGTCAGCAATACCTTCTTGGTTATATATTGGTCTGGAATGTATGTGTGTCGGTCTTCTATAGTTTATTACATTTTTATCAATTGGAATCTCACTATTTCCTATGTTGAGGTTTGGAAAAGGTCTTCTGTTGTTGTTTTGATCGTTTGAAGGTAAAACACTACCAAACATATCATTGTGGTTGATAACGTGTGCATCAAAGTCTGCACCATGATGAACTAAACCATAAGAAACAGGAGGTGTTTTTGCTACTTGGTTTTCCTGAATATTTATGTTTAATTGTTCAATTTTTGTTGGTTGTATATGAACATTAACTTTCTGATTCTCGCTACTTATAGGTTCATTTCTGATCAACTGATTTTCTACTTTGATCACACCTTTCACTTGCTTTTGATTGGGAAGGTCTGGTTGATAGATTGAAGCAATTGGTAAAACTGGATCATTCATCTCTATTATTGAATATTCTGGTTGTGGATACGGCGAAGGATCATCAAAATATTGGCCATTTCTATGCGGTTCTGTGGAACCACCGTAGATCAATGCTGTAGTTCTATTGTATGGTATATTTACGAAAGCCACTTGACTCGGTTGAATGTTGACCAAAAGTGGTTGACCTGTGGACCTTTCGATAACTTCTGGCAATATAAAAGGCTCGTTGTTGATTATGGATGGTTTAATATTGATATTATTTAGTTTTGCTCCGGTTAAAATTTCTTCTTGTAGTTTTATTGGTATTTCATGATGGTGTGGTTCAATATTAAGATGTTGTTGATTGTTTATATTTATATGCACATGTTCGTGTGCATCATATTGTTTGATTTGAACGTGAGGAATTGCTCCTGTTAGTATTTCTCCTTGGTTTATTGGAATATCGTGGTAATCGGCAGGAACATATAATGGACGATTATTACCATGCTGTGTGGGGGGTGCAGGTTCTTGCAAATTATACACCGGTTTTGTGTTAGGGTTAAATGGTTTTTCCCTAGTTGGTGGTTCATGATTAAAAGATTGTGCATATACAGGATGGTTATTTGTAAATGCAGGCAGTTGTTGTTCGTGAAACTTGTACTGCTGGTCATTATAATGTTGTTGTGAGTGTATTGGTTCGTAGTTTTTCTGATTTTTGGCATAAACAGGATTTCCTGATATTTCGTTCACCTTATCGTTCTGCACATTAAACTCAAAAGGTGCTATCGGCGGAGGAGGACCTAAATAATCTTCATGCCGATACTCAGAAGGCTTCTCAAAGCTGTTTGTTACAGGAATTCTTTTATATTCGTGGTTATTCTTTTTCCAATGTTCACTTGCTACGGGAGGAGGCTTCATACCAATAGGAATCTCATTTTCTTGACTTACTTGTTGCACTGGAATAGACGGAATTCTTGGACCAACTCTACCTGGCTTCCCTACAATAACATCGGAGTTGGTGGTTATGATATCACCGGGAGATATCGGTATTCCATGACTAATTAGGGCACTTTCATGGGCGTGGTATTCTTGGATTTTTTTGTTCGTTAATGGAGGATCTATCCAGTCAAAACTGGCTATATTTTGGCTTTCAGCAATCTCAAATTCATCATCTAAACCTCTCACCGGGATATATATAGGAGATCTACTTTGAACATCTTGTATATCTTCTTGTATTGTATCTGCTTCAGTTTGTTGATCTTTAGTAGGTTTATTTGTTTTAAATTTAGTTATTTTATTAGTATCTACTTTTGTGGTGGTTGTAGTTACGTTGACGTCACTTCTTCTGTTAGCTTTTAAGTTTGTTGATAAAAAACCAGCCATGGAATTAAGAAAAGGAGCAAAAGCTTGGAGACTGTCGATATTAATTGAGCCCAAACCTAGCAAGTCATTTTCTTGAGTCGGTTTGCCAGTTTTAGCAGGAGCATTTTTCTTGTCTTTATTTTTTTCTTCAGTTTGTGGTTTGTCTTTGTATGTTTCTGTGTTATGTTTTTTAGATTTTGATGGTGATATGGCAGATGTTTGTGCTTTTGTTTTACTTTTTGTAGATCGTTTACTCTTTTTTAGTCCTTTGGAAGGTTTTATAGTACTAGGAGAAGTATTTGTTTTTATTGTATTGGTTTTTTTCAGTACTGGGGTTGGTGTTAATTGAGCGAATGGATCATCGTCTATAAAAACAATCGTGGAACCTGTGATTATAGATGGAGACGATTCTGCTTGAATATTGTCGTTTTTAATAAGCGAAAATGTTTCAGGCATTTGCGTTTTTTCTATAGGTAACACTTTTGTAGGACTTATTCTCTCGTCTGCATTATTTTTATTGTTGGCTACCGCAGTTATTTCAAAAGTTTCTCCATTATACAGAGTAATGGTTTGTACTAACGATTTTGAGCCTTGTTCAATTGCGTTTCTAATCTCATTTAGATTTGATTTGTCTAACAAACTTAAATCAACAGTTTCAGACACTAAATTTTCGACTACACTAGTTCTTGAATTGATAACAGTGGGATTTTCTTGATTTTCTTCTTGTAATAAAGTTGTAAAGTAGGTGAAAGTAGTTAAATATGATTTTGTCGTGTAAATTTGGAAATTATTTTCTAGCCTTTGTTCTTTACTTTGGAAATCAAATTTGTTGCTAGTTTTTGGAATAATATATAACTTTTCAGTAACAACGTCACTCGATACAGATATATTAGTGAATACTGTTGGCAGGTTGTTTTCATTGATAGTGTTGTAATACGTATAAGTGACGAAATAAGTTTTAACAACATCTGTCGTAACGAACGAGGAATCAGGACTGTCTTTAAAGTCCAATGCAATATACGACGTCATTACTGAGGTAGCTCTTGGTGGTACGCTTTCTGTAATAACCACTTGGGTCACTACCTCTTTGGTGCTCATTACTGAAGTTTTGTTTCCTTCGTATAAAGTTTTTTCTAGACCAATAGTGCTATAGTAGGTGTTGGTATCTTTCATAGGAGATAAAGTACCGGATACTTTCAGTAAGGATAAATAGTCATCTGGTGCTGTGATGGTATTTGTAACAGTGTGCTTTGAAGACACCACTAGAGGTTGATCTCCATCCAGGATGGTGTTGAGGTAGGTGTATGTAGTGTGGAATACGCCCACTGATAAGTTGGGATTCTGAAAAAAATAAAAGTGTAATTAATTATTTTTAAGCGTATTTAAGACTGAATTAACAACAGTAACGATTGGTGGGGATTTTTTTATCAAGCTTTTAGACTTTTTTTATACTTAAAATAAATATAAGAAAATCATACAATTTTCAAATTTATTATAGTAGCTACTTTTAAAAGTTTCAATATTCCAAATAGGTAAAAAGAAATAAAAATAAGACTTACCCACAATCAATTTATTCTACCACCAAAACGACCGGTTTCGCATACTATATTTTGCTATACATCGTCAGGTCGACGGTATATGGTAAAATAAATGATGCCGATACAAGGTTTATTATTAAATGTTTGAGAAAACATAGTTAAAAAATTAAATATTCATCAAATTCATTCATTATTGTAATATCATCCTTGTGTCAGCATCATTTTGGTGGTGGAATAAACTGATTGTGAGTAAGTCTTACTCTTATTTCTTTTTACCTATTTGAAGTGGACTTACACAGGCAACATATTTAAGATTATCATTATTACTTTTTTGAGGTTTAAAACAAATCAGATTACACAAACGTACCAAACAACACAAAATTATTAAAATGGTTTCGAGAAAACTAAGAAGCAAGATTGAACATTATATATGTAAACTAGAGTGTCAAAATAAAAAAACAAACTGGACTTCACAAAACCAAAGATGCGTGTTATCGCCTAAGATCCTATGCAGAGAACATACTAGGAAAATATGACACAATAGATCAAATATTAATAGAGACAACTTCTGGAAAAGACAAAGGAAAATGGTATCGATAGATATCGTGCAGTTGTTAATTTTAAATCACCTTATGACAGCAAAAACAGAAAAGCCCTTTATAATGCAATGTATGAATTTGCAATACCAAGTTACTTGGTAAACTTGAACATAAACAGAGACAGCGCGGAAGACCAAACACATGCTTCCTGGACGATGTAAAAGGAGATCTATAGGTAATGGAAATAAGGACATGACGAATACTAGCTCTAAATAGGAAACTACAAAAGGATCTTTTCAGCAAAGTCAAGCCTAGTCAACGACTGTGGAGCTACAAAGAAGAAGAAATCAATATCAACGTGGTATTGGCAGCTATATAAAATGGTCATAAAATAAGAAAGAAATAATTGGAAAAAGGAAGAGACTGACTGAGTTTACATGATCTGAGAACAGCCTCAATATATCTCGTTATTGGAGTGTGAAGCTAGTTCGCGTCCGCAGTAAAATACTACACGTGTGCTATGAGTAATCTAAATGAACTAGCATAAGAGGCGCCAGACAATCGTTCGCAAGATCTCCTTGCAGGAAGAGTTTTCAAAGTTTCACAGTTTTAAAAGTTGTTAAAGATGATACTGACAACAAATGGATTAGTCCCAACAAGACCAATTGACAAAAGAACTTTGACCCAATGTACGAGTTTACCAACATAATATAGGAGCACGTGCGAACTAAGACCTAGTCAACCTAGGCACGTGCCAAGGATCCATAATTTTTGGGGCCCGAAAATGATGTTTTTAATTATTATAATTAATTTTTGTTTTTGTTTAACAGAGAAACGTAATATTTATAATAATTGCTGAAACGTGTCCAAATTATACCGAATCCTTGATCGATAAAGTCGACAAGCTTTGACAAGCGTTCCCGTGGTTATCTACCCATATCTGCGAGTGTCGATGTGCGATCCACCCTCGAGCATTTTCTATGTCCTCGTCTTCTTTATCATCAATAAAGGCACTTACATTCACTATTTCGTCCATCTTCAAAATTAAAAACTGTTTTTGTTATTTATTTTGAATATCAAAAATAGGATTAAGTGACAAGGACAAGACATGAACAAGACTGGCACCGACAACTTATTAGTTTATCACTAATTCGATGAGGGCAGCACCATCGTTACGTTACGTGCAGAACTTTAACTCTTAATTTAACGTTCATCTATTCCGATACCGTTAGTTCTTTACGTATAGGGAGATACGTTACGTTAAGTGTTGTGTTGAAGAGTATTACATAAAAAGCCACCAAAATCAATAAATGGATCATTGGAATGATCTTGTACTAGATACAACAAAGGATCAAAACAAATTACAAGAAAATTAACTATTGCCTTTTTCTTCAGAATAATTAATAGCAGGAAAAAGTTAAAAGATATTGGTTAGCTTTTAAACCAACAACTAAGGTCCCATTAGCAAGGTCCAAGCTACCGGTTCATATAAAAAACTTAATATATTTGAGTATGTACTTACTATATGGGAAAATATTTTAGAAAAAATAAATGCGTCAAACAATACTCTTCAATAAAAAGACGAATACCTAAATATAGAAGTTTTAATATATGATTTATTAAATACAATTCATTCAAAAGAAGCGGAAAAAGTGAATGATATTACATATCCTAATGACAAAAAACAAACGGCAGAAAATACCAAAACTATTTTGGTTTTATTCCAGAGTCCAAGAAAAATATTATTTAGCCTGTATCCATGTAGTCATTTATTCAGAAAAAATAAGATTATTGAAACATTCCTAAATTTTAAAACAATTCTGATAATTTATTTAACCCTTCCAATAAGCAATGCAAGCAGTGAAATATCATTTTCAGTAATGACAGGAAAACACGTTTTTGAGATCACATTAGGCTAGCAAAAATTAAATAGTTTATTATTACTTAATCATACTTATAATTATATAGAACTACATACTATTATAATTTTGAAACTAGACAACCAAACGCATAGTATGTGCCATGACTGAAAAATAGGCCCGGAATTACAATGTTGAAATCCTGGCCTGCTTTAAATCGAAGACATAAGTAGAGCAAAATGCCAAATTCTGCACAGATTAAAAAAAAAATGATATTAACCTGATTGCAATACAAGAACAACATACAGAAAATGAAGTCCAATTGAGTTCAAGAGGAATAATCCCAGGCTATGATCTACTTGGTGCTATCTACGATAAAGCCTACGGCATAGCAACCTATGTAGGTACAAACAGAAAATGCAGCCTTAATTTGCACGTCTACCAAGAACAACATCCACGAGGTAACTGTGAAAATGGGCGATATCAGAATAGCTAATTTATTTACCCTTTGTAATGTATATCCTCTTTACTTATACACAAAACTTAACTATGATAGCCATAGGATAAATAAATATATAAATAATATATAAATATATATATATATATATTATATATATATATATATATATATATATATATATATGTCCAGAAAACTACCTTGATACCATTATAAAATAACTATTTATCACATTCTTACCTGTGTAAGTGTGACCCCAACAGCCGGTGTTGGTAATATCTTGCCCGTATTCCTCTCTTCTGTGGCTATATTAGACACCACTTGTTCGTGACTAGACACTGTAGTCGTGCTGCCCTCTAGGAACGTCGTCAAATACGTGAAAGTTGTCAAACATGTCTTCGTGATGAACTGATTGGGGTATAACGAAGAAGTCAAACTTTCAATCTGTAAATTGAAAGATTAAATTAAAAAATTATAAAAACACAAAATCGACATTGCTCGCAACTGTAACATCTACTAGACGTTTGTTGGGAGGTTATAATATAAAGTAAAAACATTACTTCTGTGGCTGCCTATTGGATACGAAACGTTGGCAGTCATCATCGCTAATCTTGGTTTATTGCTAGTAGCTTAGACGCTTTGTAGTCACTCTTTGTTGTCTTCAGCTTTTTAGTCAAAAGATTTTTCTTCTTTCAGGACTCCTACAGCAGAGTATTTTTCCTTGCATTATTAGTTCTTAAACTTCATATCTGCTGTCATTTCTTATTGAGTAGTCTAGATCTTAAGAATTTTATTCTTGTTTATACATATAACTTCATTTAAATTATCTGTGATTTCATTAAATAATTTGTTACTTTATTTATTTTGATATAGTCTTTTTCCTCCTCTTCTAATTCTAAACTTTCTGACCCTAGCACAGACCCTTCTGAAATTATTTTTGGGCCTTTACCCTTGCTGTCAGCTGTGATATGTTGTCTATAGCTATGACAGCTGTCGCACAGTCTCTATTTCATTTTAGAGGAGAGGTTGAAATGACAAGAATGAACTTTAGAGTTTTCTTATGGAATTTTACATGAGAAAATAGACCGTCCTGTAGAAGCCTATTTACTCGTCTATTTAGACATTAAATCGCAACTTCATTGCTTACAAGTTTTGAGTATTTCTCTTCCTTTAGTTGTTATTAATCTTGAACCACATTCTGCAAACACCTATCACAAATGTATCTCTTACGTAAAATATAAAAAACTTGCCCAATACTTACATTTGACGAATCCTGAGGCAACATCATCAACATATTCTCCCTCAACGTGCTGGGTTTCAACGTGATTCCTTTATAAGTTCCTGACGTAAGAAGCCTCTTATAGTCTTTATCCCCTGGAATCGTCTTGTCTCCAGCTACTATTACTTCGACACCGTTGGACATAATCCTCGTGGCCAGGTTTCTAGCTTCATCGTAGTTTCTAACTTGATTGTCTAAATATCAAAACCCATGTTAAATTTGAGATGAGGCTTTATAACATTAGTGAATCACTGCTAATTTGATTATTGCTGTAGATTTAATACAAAAGAAAGTTTGGATGTACATGTAAATAAAACATAGGAAGAAATCTTTATTTTTATGGAAGAAAATTGTGTCCATGTAAATGGACAAAAAAAATGTTTACTATCCAGATTTCTCTGGACGTTCTCTAATGTCATTCAAAAAATTGCGTTATTCAGTTGTGTTTTATGAACTTGATCGTAAATACAGTTCGGCTTTCTATTTTCTTTCCTTAAATCTCGTTATATATATATATATATATATATATTATATATATATATATATATATATATATATAATAGGTAAAGAAATAATAATAAGACTTACTCACAATCAATTTAATTTAACAATCAGACGACCGGTTTCGCTTTCTATAATTTGCAAAGCATCTTCAGGTCTAGATACAAAGTTAAACTAATGATGCCGGTACTCTATTAATTGATGGATGGTAGGTCATGGTTGCAAAAATCATGTATTGTTGATTGGAGAACTTTAATGTGCTATTGCAGTTGTTTTGACAATAAACGGGAAGTTCTTGAGGAGAACAGATTTGATCCAATGAATTAGAGATAGGTATATTGTGGTTGTTTGTCAAATGAAAGTGATGTTCTTTACTATTGTATTATTTAAATTATTTACACTTATATCAGAGATATATTTTTGGAATGTGTGTTATTTATTGAGTATTTATGTTATGAACTATTTATGTTATGAATTATACTTAATATACATTAAGTGTGGCTAAGATTTATTACTGCTCTTGCGTATATTAGAACTTCGTGCCGTAAGTAGAAGAATTGAAACATCAAAAAATCATGCAACTTTTGATTATAGCTGAAAAATAACTATATTTTTGCCTCTGAGCACATATGAATAGTCGTATATGTATAAATAGTTATGTATATAGATACATAGTCGTATATGAATAGATAAATCAAAACTAATAGGGGCACTTAAATTGGGTGCCGAACTGTATAAAGTTCACGTATAATATACACCACATGACATTTACATAAAAATATGTTATGTGACACTAAAAATAATTATATAAAATATAAAAACTTCCATAAAACTTTTTTAAAAATTCACAAAAAAAATTTCTTCTAATTTTATTTTGTACACCTTTTATTTTCCTAAATTTGATTTTATTTTCTACATTAACGTGGTTGTTATGCATAAGAATATCAACAAATGGTTTTCTAACTACTGAAGGCAGATTCTAAAATTGTAGAAAACTGCATTTGGTACACTCAAAATCATTTACAGCCATTAAAACGTCAGTGTAGAGTCAAAAATTAACATTTAGTATTGATTCCAGGTGACTTAATTGCTTAAAAGACATTTTTTAGGCCTTTATGAATTCTAGGTGTATGAAATATATGTGAAGATGTCAAATAACGGGTAAGTATTAATTAATTTTGAAATAGAAAAAGGATCATACTGTCAACTGAAAAGTTTTACCACAGTTTAAAAAAGACCACCGTAAGAATTGCGAAAACTATCGAGTTGTCAGTCTACTGAATGCAACGATGGTCTACTATTGACAATATTTTGCATTATAGTACAAATTATCTAAAACCTATGCCAATTTAGTAGGGTGATAGGGATAACCAGGAAAATAAAACAATGAGATGCTTTGGTTAGGTGTAAGCCAATTAAAGAGATCTGATCAATAATTTCAGAGGACAGATCAAATCAGTGGCGCACCTAGACTTTTCCTATGGGGGGAGGGGTTTGGTTGAGCACCGAAATTTTTTTATGCTACCTCCACCATTTTAAGTCTTTAAATTTCTGAGTAACCGTGTAGGAATAGTGGCCTGCGGTAGGTGTAACCCCCTGGGTGCGCCACTGGTCATCGAATATGCTTTCTGAAGAAATGTGGCCTTCTTTTTACTATTACTGTGACCTTGATTAGACCATTTGAGAGTGTGGCTAATTAAGTAGCCAATTTGCAGCTAGGATGAAGTTTAGAAGACGAAACAAAATCCGGGCAAATGGAAAACTGCAAAATCCAAACTCGAGCTTGCCAAAATCTACAAGACAATGTTAGAAGTATCTTTATTCCGGCATTGGAGCAGCCAGTTTGCCCTTGAAACTTACTACCCTCTTTTAGTAGAGTAAAATCGTTAAAATAAAATAAATAAATATATAGACGGTGATATTTCGGATGATATCTTGTTAGTGTAGAACAGCAAAGAAATGTTAAAGGGGAAGTTGGAGGGTTAGAGAAGGAAATCCACAAGGAAAAATTCCTGTAGCTGGCTGTATACCACGTATAACAAAAAGAGGTTAATCTTTGTAAATGGGTATATTTATTTAAAAAACCCTTAAAAGGGCCACATCAATAAAACAAACGTTTTCGGACTACACAGTCCATCATCAGGTTATTAAAATCGAAAATGCTAGGTCATAATGCCTGAGCCACCAAAATATTAGGGTAAAAACCTTTAAATTACATTTAGTTACGAAATGTTGTACATTGTGTTATAAAATAATTGTGATGTTCAATATTAAATTAAATTTGACTAAAGGTAACACATTTAATATTGAACATCACAATTATTTTATAACACAATGTACAACATTTCGTAACTAAATGTAATTTAAAGGGTTTTTACCCTAATATTTTGGTGGCTCAGGCATTATGACCTAGCATTTTCGATTTTAATAACCTGATGATGGACTGTGTAGTCCGAAAACGTTTGTTTTATTGATGTGGCCCTTTTAAGGGTTTTTTAAATAAATATACCCATTTACAAAGATTAACCTCTTTTTGGTTAGAGAAGGGTTATTCAAGAAGGATGACCTAAGATTAGCAGGTCAAAAATTGAGTATATGTTGTTGGGAGGAAGGGGAATGGTTGAGGACGTAGAATTGCTTAAAGAGAATCTAGAACGAGTAGGAGAATTTAAGTACCTTGACTCCTACATAACGGAATATGGGATACTAGATCGATAATTCCCAACAGGATACAGGCTGGTTTGTCTTATTGGAAGAGAATGAACGTAGTATTTTGTGCTTGAAAAATCGGGGAAGGGCCGAAAGGAAAGATATACAAGAGTTTGGTGAGGCCTGTACAGAGGGTTCATGAAGAAAGTCTCATAATTCATCTATACATATTTCATGATTGCTTCCAATCATTAACTGAAATTAAGAAGAAGAAGAAAAAAAAAGGGTATATAAACAAAATAGTTCTCAGAAGTGTACAGCTACGTAAAAAATATGATGCCTTGGATCTAATCCGATTAAAGAAAAGCAAATTAGATCAATCATGCTTTATTCGAAGGAGACGTGTAATCTATGCCTTTAGAATTAGGAGATGACATAAACTCAGGAAAAATTGAAAGAATTTTGAAATAATTTATTGGAGACCTACTACAAGACGACAAAATATAGAGACAATATAAAAAATTAACTAAAGACAGAAAAAAATAAACAAAAATTTAGAAAATATTGACCACCATAGAATTATCGAGTCCGATGACGTAAAAGCCCCATGGAAAACTATTAAAAAGCAAATAAACCACGTAATAGAAAAACACCTAAGAGCAACAACAGGAATATATATCAAAACAGATTTTACAATTAATGGACTAACGAAAGAATCCACAGGAGAAGATGGTAAGGACAAAGAATACAAAAGACTAAATAAAATAATTAAAAAAAAACTAACCAAGGCAAAAGAGAAATGGCTTTAAAAAAAGACGTCAAAATAGAAGAACTGCAACAAAGGCACGATCACTTTAACCATAAGAAGGACATCGACTAACAAGAGAACAACCTTACACACCATGCTAAACACAAATGGCAAATTGCTAGAATCGACCAAAGATAAACTGAAAGAATGGGAAAACTATATCAAAATATTTTTTAACGACATACAAGAAGAACCAAGAAGCTTGATCAACAACAACGAAGGACCAGAAATTCTGAAAACCGAAATTATAGATGGCATAAATCAACTCAAAACAAATAAGAGCTCAGGTCTAGATGGAATAGGTATATCCAGAAACGTTAAAATTAATCAGCGAAGAAAACATCAAAATACGTGACCTTTTATTTAATCGTATTTATTATACAGAAAAAATACTCCAAGACTGACTAGAATCAGTATTCATCTCGCTAGCGAAAGCCAAACCCACAACACTGCAACGAGATCCGTCTGATAAGCGTCATGAATCATGGAGTAAAAGTCCTATTAAAAGTCGTACATAACTGAATATACAAAAAGTGAGAAACAATAATCGAAGACGATGATTGTTAACAATTCATCAATCCATCAACACGGCGTTGGCAGAAATCATCACACACATCTCAGAAAGTCTAAATAACAACAAACTATCATTAGGTATTTTTATCGATGTTCAAAAACCCTTCGTCCAAGTCTGACATGCTGGAATGGTGAAGAAACTACCGAACATCGACCTGCCATTTGTCAGATTAATGCACACATATGTCACTCAGAGTAAAATCACGGTAAAGTTTAAAAGTCATTTCTCTAACCCTTTCACTTCTACAGCAGGAGTGCCACAAGATTCCGTGTTGGCACCAATACTCTACACAAGATACAATAGTAACTTTCCTAATCCACGAAACACAGACACACTCACTTTACTTTACGCAGATGACACCGCTCTCGTAACAACATCTTGAGATGCAGATGTCCTCTGTAGGTTTGCACAAACTCATCTTAACCATGCCGATAGGTGGAGCGGAAGATGTAGATTAACACTTAACCCAAATAAAACACAAATGATCCTCTTTAGATATCCTAATCTTACCAGACACATCACAAACAATGTTGACGAAAGAATTGATCTTATACTTTAAAGTGATCGACTCCAACTCCGTGACCAGATCGAGTACCTAGGCGTGGTGTTCACAAATACTCTACAATGTAACAGATTAAGGAGAAGAGTCAACGCTCTATGTG